GGTTCTGACCCCTCTGTAGAGAAGGAAATGAAAGTAATAGCAACAGAGATATGTTGTAGAATTGCTCTGTGTGCACGGAGACGGTTTTCCTTTGAAAAGGGTGATCAAAAGAGGCCTACCCTTTTCCAGGTGGATCACGCCACACTTCCGCTCAGTTGGGTAAAGAATTGTTTTCTTCTGTCACGGTAACTAACCGTAGGAGGAGGAGAGGAGGACCTTTTTTTGTGCCTAATTAGCAGGTGTTCGTCTGCAAATGACTGAAGGGTTATTCTTAAAGCAAAACTGTTTTAAGATCTGACACTCCAGTTTAGTCTTGTGCGTGCGCCTAAGCAAATGCTGTGAAGTCGTGCTATGAGCGGACAATGACATTGGTTAAACCTCCCCCTTTATAAAGGCTAGGGTGTGTCGTTTTTACTTTGCGTTTATTTTGTATAAGATATGGTGACTTTCTGACAGAGGGGGCATGGAGGCTGCTTTGCTGTAACTATCTCCCAGCTGGAGAAAAGTTGTTAACCCCGATCACGTTGTCAGCCTACCTAGCGCGTCTGCCCGCCGCTGAACTGGCGCAACCAAGAAAGCTGCGATGAGGACAGAGGATCTCTGGCTCTGAGTGGGATAAATCCTCATTTGGAATTGAGTCCTAAGTTTCCTTTTATTTTTGGCTCGTGCCTTGTCGTTCTGTCCCACAGGGTATGAAGAACAGTTTAACTAACCTTTTTACATCACTAACCTTTTTACAACTGCAACCTTTTAAACATTTGGATGTCTCTGTCCTTTTTTTCTTCAGATTCAAATATGTAGTCTATTTTAACTCCCAAACCTTTTTGTCACGGAAGATAGTTTAGCTGGTCAGCAACTATCCTGAACTTATGCATGAGATTCCCCAACCCCCCGAAGTGTAGAGATTTGCATGGTTTTACTGAATTAAATCCTATAAAACCAGGAAAAAAAATCTACTACTTTCAGTTCATTAAGGCCACTCTGATGTCAAGCCCTATCTTCCAGCTCTCCCTCTAAAGCATTGTCCACAAATTGGAGAAAGAAGCTCCTCTTCAGTTGGCCAAACCATTAGAGAATACGTTTAATAGTATCAGAGGCCACCAGTGCATTGTCTTTCATCACAGTGAATGATTCTTAACTATTCTCTGAATTAAGTTTTCAGCTGTGAAACTAGAGGCTTGTTGGAACAGTTTCATCCAAGCCCTGTGGTGGTTTTAATATGTCAAAAGCCTTACTGAAGTCGGGTTAGATGATTTCTCTCCTAACCGTAGGCTCTAACGTGCTCTAGAAGGGAATTAGTTGATTAAAAGCTACCTCTTTTTGGCAAATCTACAGGAACTGCTAGCCTTTTTGGTTTCTGTCCACTAATTCTCAAGTTTATTAGCCTGATTTTTTGAAGTCTATTAATTTTTCTCTTGTCCCTCTTTCCTGAGTGTGCATTGTTTTCCTGTCTCATTTATTTAAACTGAGCCACTTTGTACCAGGAAGTCTTAATGGGTTACTGTCAGTGTTTATGTTTCAGGTCAGTAAACTGAAGATAATATTTTTTTTTCCAAATTTTGCCATTGTATTGCTTGTATCTTATTCTATTTGGATATTAATTTAAAATTATGGGTTTACTTCTTAGTTTTGGGTGCAATTGTTTTTTTTTTATTGCTGATGCTACACAGGCAGTTTTAAACATTTTTTGGTGTAATGTATGTGTTTTGTCAGTAATCGCAAGCTCCTTCCAAGCATTCTCTGGTTAAACCTTTATTGGTGATGATACAGAGTGGTGTTGGCATGATCTTCCCACACATATTAAGATGTAGATGTGATTCTAAGCATTTAGGTTTTATTAGCCAAAGCTGCACAAAGATGTGAAGCGGGGGCAAAAAAAATTACCAATCCCCTTTATCCTGTCTATCGCAAACTATTTCTAGTATTGCATCTTGTAGTGGGTTAATACTAAATATGTATAGTTTATTTGCTAAGCATGTTTGTCAGAAGATTTATGACTAATCAGAGCGTGGCCAAGTTCATTTCTGGATTCTTAGGAATGGCTGAGAAATTAGATGTGATCATATTAATAAACTGTTGAAATAGAAGTGTCTCGGAGTCCTCTGCAGGTAAAAGGTTTGTGTTTCTGCTTAGGTGAAAATACAATGTCCCTGGTACTAGGAAGTCTGAAATAGCTGTAAGGAGCAGTTTGGGGTATCAAAGTAACGTGGGCGAATACCTCTTGGTAGAAAACATGTCATTGCTATTTTGGCAAAGAGGAGGAGAGGTGAACGTGGCTTACAGCTGAGAGTTACACTGATCACCTACTCCTGAAAGAAAATGATTTTGTTATTTGAGAAAATCAGTTCTGGGGAATAAGCAAGAACAGTAAGATGCACTGCTGCACTGTGTAAAAGGCAAGATTTGGAGAGAGGGGAAAGGGAGAGCCGCTTTTTAAAAAGGAAGAAAAAAACGGAGCGCGGAAGACCAGAAATAGCAGGAGTCACTTTTTCATGCTTAAGACAAGCAGACGTACGGACTGTCCTGAACTTCTGCAGCAGCTGCTACCCCTGTGGCCGAAAGCCCTTGGCCGAGGTGGTGGCCGCTCGCCAGAGCTGACCGAAGCAAAACCCGCACCAGCCTCTTGTTACCCGGAGAGTTTGCACTTGGATTAAAAGTTGGGCTTTCGTTAAACACAATCTGTATAAATGAAATAATATTCTCACTTGACAGTAAGAAACTTGCTGACACAAAGACGTGTTGCAATCCCCTCCCATCTGCCAGGAGGAAATGGCATTGGGTGATGGTAGTAGCAAGAAGGGTTTTTAACCTCTTACTCATTTGTTCGCAATCCGGGAATCGGCAGCGGTCACTACCTCAGTAGGGTAGAGCACAGAAGAGCTCTCGTTCTGCCGGTTGGCTGCTTGTGGCAGCAGGCTCAAGAAAGCCTGGAGAGGTCACCGTGGTCAAGCCCAAGTATGTCATGCCTTAAAAATGACCAAGGGTTTTGTTATCTGTGAGCTATTGCTTACATTTATGTTACCTGGTTGCTCCTTTTGTATTTTAAATAAAGCTTCGGTCCCTTTGGTGTCTCTGTGACATCCTCTTCCATATGTGAGTCAAAAGTCAGGTGTGCGTCGGGAGCTGTAGCAGGGGGAAAAAAAATGCAGCCACTTGGGTGACCTGACCACATTAGTTAAGTAAATTACTTCCTTCTACCTTGCTAATATTACAGTGTTCTTTAACAAATAAAATACATAGTGGGGTTAAATTCTGTAAAATCTAAATTTCTGTAGAAAAAGACAAATCTCGCGCTGACAAACTTGATTGCCTTGTACAAAAACAAGTAATAACTATGTTATGAAAAAGCTAGACTGCTCAACTGATTCTTTTTTTTAAGTGAAGCAAATAACCTTGGAAGAATTTAGGAATAACGATTTGGGAATTATTTTTTCATTCTGGAAACAGAAGGCCAACCTTGTTTTGTAGTGTGGTTAGATGTGCATCTTTGTCTTTACTGTAGGGGCAATATCTTTTCATGATGTTTAGTCCTGTTTAAACTACATTACCTTGTGTGTGTGTCTTTTTTTTTTTTTTTTTAACTTAAAATTATTTGCAGGATGCCTGAATCTTTGTTGGATAAAGATTGTAAGAGCACTTTAATGGTTTGCTTAATGTCCTGATAGTGGAAGATCGTGAATATTTTAGTGTCATTAAACGCGGCAAGTCTTCTTGAAATACCGTGCCAGTAAAACTTTATTGGGCTTTTTTTTTTTTTTTTTATTAATAAGATACCTATTTAGACAAATAATCTGTAATCTGCAGTGAAGTTGCACTTTTAACAGTTGTCTGAGGCCCTTGCTTTTCTTGTTAGCTCAAAAGGCATTGCATTTTCTGATTACTCAGCTGATTGCTGGGTAGAATTATGTTCCAGATAATGAGATTGTTCTGAGTATAATTATGCATGTCATTCACTCTGTGAAAAGTTTAGAAAAAAGGATAAGTTATGTTGGTATTTAGAAATTGTCAAAATGATAAATTATCCAGAAATTGAGAAGAGATTATTTAGCTGTGTTTAATTAGGACTAAATTGAGGACTGGCTGTTAGCTGGCCTGTTGTTTAACAGTAAACTGCATAATGAATTTCTGTTTTTGACTAATGTTTTATAATTGAATTTGCAAGGAGCTGATTTGTGCAAATATACATTACACATTTTTTGTTTCTGCAGTGATATTAATTTCATGGTTAATGAAGTTTGCAGTTTTAAACTAGTATTTAACAAGATCTTATCTGTGTGGATTCTTCTGATGAAGTGAAAAATTGAGTCTGCTTTCTCATGCCTTATGATAGATAATGCTCAGCGTTTCCACATGGCACGTTCTCACTTGAGCATTCCCTGATCCTAGCAAAATGTAGTCCCTACATAATTCAGCATGTTATTTCTTCCTGGCAGATGGAGCTTGCACACAAATGCCTTTGCAAGTGGTATAGGGCTAGTGCGTTAGATTTTGATCTGGAGTGATTAACATTGTTCTCAGTGTTGCTCAGGATACGCAATACTGATTTTTCTGTCCCTGACCCTGAATTGCACGTTTTATAACCTCGTATTTTGTGTTTATATTCTTTCTTTGTCATATGGAATCAGTGATGAGGATGAAAATGTGCTAAAATGGATTCACAATTCAAATTCGTCATAGTGCAAATTAGTAGTTCGGATTCATAGTTCAAATCTTACCTAGTTCTCAGGTATACTAAGCTAGAATAGGAAAAGGCCATCTCAAGGAAGGCACTAAACTTGTTTTTCTCTTGTTTGTGATTATTTTTTCCTCTAGAGGTTGCTATTTTTTATATTCAAATGTTTTTTGCAATTTTGTCATCTTGACTTTAGTTGCGCTTTTGCCTGACCTACTGCTAAAATCTTGTAGTGATTAGATTGTGCTGGCTCACTTGACAAAATGAGGGGGGGGGAAAAAAAACCCTACTGTGTTCCTCTCGATCTGCCGTGCAAAATATTGCCGGGATGTATCGTATGGCTCAGACGGGAGAACAGTCAGGAACTGACGCTCGGTTGCTGATGCTGAGGATGGAGCCGGTGGGGATCCTGCGCTAGGGACATCCCATCTCTCCCTCCTGCCTCCTGTGGAGCGGCAGGAAGAAGGGGGATACAGATCAGACAGCCAGAGATTTTTCAGGTTGTTTGAGGAGTGCCTTTCTAGATACGGTCTAAATGCTCAGAAGAGCCTGAGGTTTGCCATGTAGGGCTAGGCCAGCAGCAAGGAGTTGAGTAGAGCTCCAGAAGAGCTTTTATTCTCTAAAATTTTAGTTCCTTTTTAGAATAATTGCTCCTCTTAGCTTCCCCTCCTCTTCCAGAGTATCTGCCTTGTCTTGAAGCTGATGATGTGCCTAGCAGCATATGTTCGTTTAGATGCACAGGATTTTACGCTTGCTTCAGAAGGTAATTATTCTCTCTGTTAGAAGATGGAGTAGCCTAAGAAGCTTTAAAATCAAAAAGGGAAAAAAAGCCTTCTTCCATTTGAGCTTGCTTGTGGTAGTATGTTTTCAGTGGTGGCAGTGTGTGTTAGCACTGTGAAGCTTTCGTGAAACCTGCACAAACGTTAAGAAGAGTGCTCATACGCATGGCAGTTATTACATGTTTTCGCTTTGCTTTCAGAGGTTTGATTTATCTAGTGCCTCGTTTTTAGCTACGTTATCTGATGTCTGCATGATTGGCCACTGACTCTCCCTTCGTGACATTTGATCTTGCGTAAAGAAGATGCGTGGAGTGTGCTGTGTAGCTTTTGTTTGCTTGTTTTTTAAAGTAAGTGGCCTTACAGTGATAAAGAAAGTCGATAAATTTGTTGTGTTCATCCCTTTCTACAGAGGGAAGCACAGTATTACTTTCTGGATGTGTCTGAAAGTCTATTTTAGGTTTGCTCTCTGTTTTTAAGACTGTTACAACTAGTGGCATAATTACTTAATATTTTAGGGAAGGAGGTGTGGGTTTGTTGCTGTGCTTTGCTGTTTTTTCAGTTCCCAAGAGCTGGTTTAAAATAATTGGCTTGAATGACTGAAAGTTCATTGATATCTGTTGTCCTGCAAGTAATGCTGGGAAAGCCTCGTCTGTTATTGCCGTGACCTTGTGAATGTTGTAGGTGAAAAGGGTGTTGTGAATGGCAAATGGTTGCTTGGTGCAGATGAATGTGTGTTGATTCTGTTTACCTTGTACTAAATAATATGGTTTTCCCAAATTGTTCTTATTTTTAATACAAAAAATATACTTGAACTTTCAACTCGCATTAGGCGTATATTTAGCTTATTTATCTGTTTCTATAGTGACCTACCCTTTTAATTTTTTTTTGGCATTTGTTTAATAACATTTGTTTCAGAGTATTGAAGGGTTTGCAAGCAAGGCTGTGTATTAAAATTAAACTTTTAAAGCCCATCTTAGAAGTACTTTTGATACTGGAGGATTAGATTTGCTGTGTGTTTCGGTTATCCCGTACGTGTTGAGGAAACAGAATAGCACTTCTCTTTGTCTCTCTAGTTTGAAATTGTAATTTATTTTGACCGCTCACATGGAGCGCACCTTGATAGAATAGGCGTACGCGTGTTAAATACAGAGATAATGACTGCCTGTCTCCAAGAACAAAACTTAATATTTGGATAAATCTTTCCTTAGCTACTTAGGCTTCTTCCCTTAGCGTTCTTAAAGCTTTTGCTTTCAGGTATTTTATTTTCGGTGTTGCTGTACTGTTGGCATATCTTTCGGGAAGTAAAGGCATGGAGGGCTGAATGCTTGTTGTGTTCGTATAGCGGCGATTACGTGAGGTTCTTGGCTTCTGAAGTGCTGCTGTGTATGAGGAGATGGCAAATAGGTTAGCGCGAACTCGTGTCTAGTTCTTTGTCTGCTGAATTAGTTTAGCTTTCTTAAAAAGTAAGCTTCACCTTTTAAAAAAAGTTGGTTAAAAGGACTGTTGATACCGTATCTAGGCTGTGCGCTCCACTAAGACACAGTTTGTTTCCTTTATTGACAGATGAGTTAACGCCTCTCTCAAAATCAGTGTGGGCTACCAGGATAAATGAGATCAGTGTTGCCTCAGTAAAATATATGTAATGTAAGGTAATATGATCTTTTTGTGTCTTCTCTCTCTCTCTCTCTCTCTCTCTCTCTTTTTTTAATCAGCTAAGCATTTGGAAAAATCTTTTGACCTTAAAATATGTATATGTTAGGAATAAAAAGCTCACCAAACATGCATTTGTCTGCCCTTCCTGAAGAAGCAACCATTTCTCTCTCTCTCTCTCTCTCTCTTTTTTTTTTTTTTTTTAGCAACTTTTTTTTTTTTTTTCCTACTGCTAGTAGTTTGTCCTTGACTTCCCTTCTCCTCCTCTCCCCTGCCAGGTGTTCACTTAGCTCTCACAAAACCTTTGTAGAGACCAACTTTATGGGTGGGAAATACATGCTGCTTTTTTCACTCAGGGAACTTCCAGGAAATGTACTTCTCCTGTGTTTACAGAGCAAGCACTGATGCCCGTTTGTTACGTGATGTGAAATCCAGTGTTGACATGTCATTTTACGTGTTCTGTGTCAAGACAAACAGTGTTGGTCATGAGGTACTTGGGCTTGGGCTGATACTCAGCCCTAGGTTATTTAATTTTGCAATAAAACAAAGCTCCTTGTTCTGCTGCTTCCAAAGGAGTGTCAGTCAGACCAGCTATCTATTGCAAAGTCTTCACTGCCTGAAAGCTGTAGCCGTAACGCTGTTACAACTGCTGCCTTTGCCACTAAGACCCTGGGATAAGTTCTGCAATTCTGAAGGCACCACGTGGCTTTCCAGACGTGGAATCATTAGTCTTTACGATGTCCCTGAATAAGCATCTGGGTCATTAAACTTTGTGTCCGTTGTTTCTATAAAGTTTCTCCCTGGGTGACCATGTTTAATGGACAAGTTCTTAATTACATACCTGTCTATTGAGGCCAAGGACACAGTGGAACTCAGAAAGGGACGGGGTGCTTGTATGTCTCACGTTCTTTTCTGTTTTACAAAAGTTTTAAATTTCTTGTGGAAAGCAGAAGGGCTTTTGTGTTTTGCAGTGTGTCAGTCTTTAGCATGGACTAGAACAAAATTTTCCCATGAGCAGCGAATTATTCCGTAACTGCTTTCTTCAACATACCAAAACCATAATTTCTGTTATCTTTCTCCAATATCTCTATATTACTGAATGTATTTAGAAATCACTTGCTGTAGTCTATCAGTTCTGCTCAAGTGTACTTAGTGCCCAAGAGTGTTGACTAGTCCAGATACTTAAGCAAAAATGAAAGGGTGAACGTTGGGGTTCTTAAGTAGGGAAACGAGCAACGGGTTTTCAACGTATCCTGTGTCAGAGCATCTCAATTACAGTCAGTGCAGCATAGGAAAAGAGGGGAGAGCTGCAGTGCAGCAAAAATTGAATTTCCAAGAATACAGTACATTGTGTATGGAGGAATGAGGAGCAAGCCATAAACAGCTGGTCTTTTGTGTGAACGAAGTGGTGCATTTTTTAACCTCACATTTAAAAATAGAGAAAACAAACTACATTCCTTTTCTCTTACTACGAATATAGGGAGACGCTGTGCTCGTTAAGTGTCACACCAAGTGCATGGCAATTAAGTGAGGTGTTCCTTATGTGCGTAACATACCTTTTAAACGGCATTGTTTTAGCCAGTTCTCATTAGGCATGTAGCTTCTCGTAAAGCTAGCTTAAAAAATTGTTTTGACCTGGGGAAAGCTGTAATTTCTTTTTTTTTCTTTTTTTTTCTTTTTTGCTGCTACCAACAGTATAATCGGGGATCAAATGAACCAGCAAGCGCGAGCCTGTTGAAAGATTCACTGTGGTGTGAAAAGGAGATGAGTCCAAACTTATGATAGAGATCACGGCTAACGAAGTTCAGTGACAGCTGCCATTCTGTGGTGGTGTGAATCATTTGCCTTTGCAGATTTTCATGGTTAGCCTGCGTGTACTCATTCATAAGACATCGACCCACTGTTGTGGGAAAAGGACTGATATTAGCCAGCAGAACAGTTTTGATGATCACCTTCTTGAATTTAATTTAAAAAATGAAATCTGGACTGCGTACGCTGTTGATTTGACAAGGTTTTTTACAGAAATTGCAGGATCAAATTTATGATGCTTGTGTTCTCTTGGATAACCAAGCGTTATGAAAAGAATGCGGTTGTCTGAAAACAGCAATCTGAAATTATGAATCAAGTTCTGAATCGGTTACTAATGCTTGACTGAATTGTTCAGCTCTTACTCTGTGCGGTTGGTAAAACAAAGAGTGCTGCTAAAAACTGTAATGCTTCGTCTTGCGTGTTGGCAATGCTGTGAACTAATATTATGGCTATCGAAGTAGCCCTTCAGAACACAACAATCTTAGACTGTGAGCACTATTTTGGAGGACTGGTCTCTCTTACTACGTTATTCAGGGAGCCTAGCAAAGGAAACCTAGTGGAGGAGACCCAACACTCTTGTAACATAACACTGTGTGGAAGCTCAAACTGCGACATGTTTCTCATTGTTAAATACTGTGTGTTCACATGTGTGGCTTTGATTTGCTGTATTTTGATCCTTTGGCAAGTGCTTCAAATTTTAGACCTTTTAGGCATCGGAGATGTTTAGAGTTACAGAATACTTGTTGTTGGAAGGGCCCCCAGAAGGTCGTCTGCTCCAGCCTCCCGCTCAGCACGGGGCCGGCTTCAGTTGCGCTGCCTCGCTCAAGCCGTTGCCCGGCTGACTTCTCCAGGTCTCTAGGACTGGAGGCCGCTCTGGGCAACTCGGTACGGTGTTCAAGTGCTCTCAGTGGGAATGCTTGGCGGATGTCGGGTTGGGACTTCCCTTGCTGCAACGTGCAGCTGTTTCCTCTTGTCCTTTTGCTGCGCGCCTCCGAGGAGAGCCTGATTCTGTCCTCTCTGTAGCTGCCCCCGCACTGCGTTAGCAGGTTTGCACGTAAGCCGTGTTAGGGAAGATAAGGTCACGTTCTCCTTTCTTGCTTTAGACTTTAGTCTCCTCTTTGGCTAGCTCAGCTGTAGCTTAGCTGAGGGCCAACAACAGCTCTTTGACCCGTTTTTGGAGAAGTCTTGAGGTGTGCTAGAGAGATAAGTGAAATAGCCACTTCTATATTGAAAAGGTCAGTGTACAGCTGCAGAGAAAATTGAACATGTTGACTGTCCTTTAGCTTATATTCCTTTGTTTGAATTCCAAATATGTGAGCTAGAAAAGTCATCTTAGATCTTTACTGGAAATAGAACGATTCTTATTGTGAACTGCCAGAACGTGTGTCTAAGAAATGTAATAATATATGGTATTTTAAAATATGTCAGTGACAAATACTCTTTCTGCGTACAGGACGGATGCAAAAAGGATATCTATATATACGTGTACACGCACACACATACCAACTACTCCTTGTGAAGGAATAAAAAGCTTCTAGAACACTTGAATTGGGCCAATTTTGTGCTGGTGCAAGAAGAGCAGTCAAAAAACCTGGTGGTTTTGGATCCATGTTGAAATTATTTCACATTAGCAAAATCTTTTCTGTGTGGTGATCTTTTTGAGGGGGAAGGAGGGGAAAGCTGAGTTACAAGTGCAGATTAAGGTGTTGCTTTTCCTAGTGACAGTTTGGAGAGGTTTTAGTCTGCTCTGTTCTTCATATGTGACCTTTATTATTCCCCGTATTCCCCTTTTTTTGGAATACTCGTTGCAAAACTCGTATCTAAAGTAAGTGTTAAAAACCCTTCCACAGTACTCTGGCATTAATTGTTCCTAGAAATGTAATTAAGCATGAGCAGAATTTAATGAACTCGAATTTTGCATTAATAATACTCTATTTGTATGTCCCCTCTGATCTGAAGTCTGTCTGGCAGCTCGCGTGCTGGTCGTGAGAAGCGCTTTCGCTTCCTTTTCTGAACAATTCTGGCGTAGAAACGCTGCTAGCTCATACGTTTCTTCGTTTGCCTTATAATTCGGCACGAAATGCTGAACGCGATTAATTAATATTCAATGAGGCTAGCTCTTGGCAGCGCCAGGATAACGGGCTGGATTCGAGCATATGTTACGGCGCTACCTCGTCGCGCGTGGCGAGAAGTTGGCAGATGGGGAGCCGTCTGTCAGCTGGCGCGGGAGCTGTGCCAGGTCTCCGAGCGGCGGCAAGGCCGGCGCGCGCCGCCAAGGGAAGCCGTCAGCGCGGCTGAAGGCACCTGCAGCAACCCCCTTGTTTAGGCCGCGTGGAAGAATTGCTTTCGCCTCTGTGATCTGATGGATGCCTCACAAACGGGCAAAATCTTTTATTTGCCGAAGTCCGCAGGCTTTTGGTTGCAAAAATAGTCTCCTCACGGCGCGTGAGGGATGGGACCCGATTTTGCTCATCAGTGTGGTTATCTGCAACCTCCTGCTTTTTTGCCCCGTTTGCTTTCCTCCCTCCCCAGCCGTGTGCAGCCTTACGGAAAACGCGGCGGGCTCAAACGCTGGGGGAGAAGTTCGGTCGCTCTTGGCCGAGCCTCGAACCGCTCCTGCGGTGGCGCAGGGCGGGCGGCGTAGTGCCTCAGCGGTCACTTCCAATGGTTGTATTATATGTAGGTGACACAGTTCCTCTCTGCTGTCGGAAGCCATAAGGGTACAGAAAGTAAAAGGGCAAGTTGTTAGTTATGTGCTGTCTGTAAACGTTAAGATATTGGGGCAATTGCAGTAACATCTTACTGTACGAGGGCTCTGAGCTTTTGGGAAGTTGTCTTACTTGTGGAAAAAGTTGTAATCGGCTCATACATCCAAGCTGCTTTCAATGGCTGGTAAACTAGGTGAGCATAACCTATATAGCGTCCTATTTGAAACCCAGATTCATTTCTAACACCCAGAGAAACAGGTTGGCAACCAGCTGATAGTCAGTCTGGCTGTACCTGCGATGCTTTTTGCCTCCAGACAGACCTCTGCAAGTTGAAGGCGAGAAGGAGAACCAAGTCTTCAAATTTCTTTTCTCTTTTTCCTTTTTTTTCTTTTCTTTTCCCTGAGAGACAGCTTCTGGAAGAAGAGCATAGATGATTTTCCTTCAAAGGAATTAGTGGGTGATATATTGAACTTCTGACGGTGTTGAAAGGTTGTGGACTTTAGACAGAAGAAGGCAGTAAAACCAGCATAGCACAGCTGGGAATTCAATAACTGTGGCAGTAAGAGCCTCCCTTGTCGCCTATGGATGGTTCTTGCACAGAAAACGAAGCTATCCTGACATTTGGCAATGACCCCTAGTAGAAGAGGGCAGATAAAAGGTTGTATTTGAATTTTTAAAAAGCCAGTACACAACCCTTTTTAACTACGTTTTCCCCCACGTGGGTTTTAAAGTGTCCTAGGGGGGTTTTTTTGTTTATTTGCACTGCCATGATCCTGGGAGGGGAAGGGGTGTTATCCAGTACCCCATTACCTTTGGTCTGTCTTTGGCATGTAAGGAGTTAATAGCTTACAACTGCAACAGAAGACAGATTTGTATTGCAAATTGTATTACGATGCAAATAGTAACATGATCTTTTTTTTTTTTTTTAAACCATTGTATAGTTGGCATCGCTTTTCTTTTTTTTTTTTTGGTTTGAGTTTTTTATAGGCTGACAGGTATCCCTTCTGTGAAGGGATTATCTGTTTTAAAAATATCTGTCTCGCCGTCCTTTTGGAATTCAGGTTGCACGCAAAAGACTAGTTTGTCATTCACGGAGCAAATATACTTTGTCAGATAATATGTTTGTCCTGTTATCAGTTGTTTTGATTTCTTTCCGCTGTTGTCGATGGCCCCTGTCGCGCCAGACTCTTTTCCTAGTGGAGTCTTGGTCTCGGCGAGCAAAAGAAACTGCTGGTTGTAATCATATCCTGAACCCGCTTTGCTATCTGAAGTTAAATTTTCTGCATGGGCAATCCTAAACGCTAAGGCCAGTGGACTGGTGAGCAGGTAACGGATTATTTTTCCCGGTGAGCTATAGTGGCAGTTAAACAACGGAGATGTAGGAACTTGAAGCTGATAGAAGGGAGATGGTTGATCTTCCCCCGCTTATCCTTAGGGGTTGACAGTGAAGCGCACTTGCAGAAGATTTAATTTATATAAGAATGTAATGTTTCTGCAAGATGGTTTGCTTTCACTTTTTTGTGTGTTTGCTGCTTTAGGAGTTGCTGATGCATTTGTTTGTTTATTTTTCAGTAAAACGCTTCAGAGAACCAAAGCATGAAAGACGTCCTTGGAGGATATGGTATGTATGGTATTGGATCAAGTCTGAGCTTTTGGTTTCCTGATGTTTTAGAAATCGAAAGAATGGTTGTTTGCTTATGATGACGATATCTGAAAGCGATGGACAAAAAGTTACCGAAATACGTGAGTCAATGCAAAGGGGTTTTTTCCTGCTAATCCAGGACGAAAATCACACTTTATTTAAAGTTGCACTTCCTCATGAAGACAAAAAAATCTTACTAAAATCTTTTCTCTGATGGGCCTGGAATTTTTTCACACAGTATCAAATATATATATATAAATAAAAAATATATATCTATAAAAATATATATGAGATTCTCTTCAAAACCCAATTAAGTCTGTAGTCCTGAGTGTACCACTCTGTATAAACGCTTGTAGGGATGGAACAGTCATTTGTTTATCAGTAACCAGGAGGTCTGGTTATTTTCTGAAGCTCCAAATTTGTAAGAAGCTCTCAGCTAAGCATCAAAAAAAGTCATGTTCTATAGCAATCCTGTTATGTATAAGATATCAAACAGCTTGGTAAAAGATAAGAATATATAAACCGTAAAAGAATATAAGGTATAAAAAGTACATGCATTTTTATTATTTTTTGAAAGGGATATTGCAGCGCTACCAACATAACTCGTGCCACCTATAAGCCGAGTCTGGTGTAAATCTTGTGCGATTGTTGTTCCGGTTGTTGAAGAATGCAGTGTTTCTTCGGTGGTTTCAATTAATCTCATACGATGTTGCTTTTCATAACTAATCCTGACCTTTAATTTATTGAAAAGGTAAATACGAAATCTTTGTGTACCGCAGTCTACGTCAACCTGAAATTCTCAGCAGCAAGGTAGCTCTTAATTTTTAAGCAAGGAGTCTAGCTCTGAAACTTCAGAGCCGTTGTTTGTAGCGTGTTGCGCTGGTTAGACAGGTAGCTCACTGGCTCCCCACCTCATCCCCAGTGCTTCCAGTGTTGTGAAAGCAGGAGAATGAAGGTTAAGATCAGGTTGTCAGGGAGGGGAGATGAATTCAGGCATAAAATATTGTTTTGATCTGTTGGGCTTCTTAGACAAGGGAAAAACAGGCAAAGAGGAGTGCTGATCTGTATAAAGAACACATAGTTGCCTGCATAATGCATTTGACACAATTTGTATATTCAGCGTATTTAATGACACATCTAATAGAAGTTCGGTTTTTGTGCAAGACATTGTAATAAAATAATGTTGTTAAGGGACTGGAATCAATATTGACTCTATACCCAAGTATTTAAAATATAGATCAATATAGACGTTTTTTTTCTCCCTGTAAGCAGTAAAGTATTTTCTCTCCAACTCATTCATCTGCCCTGGAAGTAGTGCCTTTGAGGTTGACCTTTTTTTTGTGGTGTGGTCTAAGCTGTTGTGCTTTAGCTGAAATTCGATGTAGCTGCTTCATGCTTTCAGATGAAAAATATCTATGTTGGCTTTTTAGTAGAATAGTATAGATTAAGCAGTCATTAGCCAACTATTATCTTGAACACCAAGAAGCATGTGATGATGATTTTATTGCTGTCTGTGCCATAAATGTGCTCAAAAGGCATAAACGTAAAAGAACTGAAATATTCAGCAAGGCTGGTATACTCATTGTTTACAGAAGGTTATTAAAGATTTAGCTAGGTTTAGTGAGCATTAGCTCTTGGATAATGCCTGTGATACTGGAAGGTTGTCCCTAGTCCTTAAATAACAGTGCCAAGGTCTCAAGTTGATGCAATTCGATTTTTAGCAATAGTCAAGAAAAAAAATTACCAAGGGGTTGAATCGCAAATGGAACAATATCAAGTAAGCTAAGTATTATAGCACATTATACATCTTGTGTTGTCATTTGGAAAAAAAAAAAGAATAATTGGGATGGAATTTTAATTAAAACAAATTTACAGTGTCCTTCTGTGTTGTGAACATTTTTGTTGGTTCTCAAAAGCTGTCATTTTCTTCTCTGCAGGTTTTTAGATACTTCCAAGCAAGCCATAGGGATGTTGTTCATCCACTTCGCAAATGTGTATCTGTCAGACCTTACAGAAGAAGACCCTTGTTCGCTGTGAGTGTTGAACTTAGACTAACTGGTCTCTGTGGAAGTTCTCCTGTTGAGTTTGATGGTGTGCTTGGACAATAATGCAAGCAGCATCTGAGAAATCATTTTCAATGATATGAGTAATATGAGGCAGTTTACTGAAGGAGGTAAGAGATGCTGAGGACCAGTGAAAGCGAATATGAAACTGTGTACGCTGACCTCCAAGTTCACTGCAATAAGGCTTTTGTACAAAGTCAGGTAGCTTTCAAGGGTATTTAACAAAAGCTTGTATTTCCTTCTACTATCCACATTAGCTATGGCAGTATTATTTTGATTTTTATGAATAGCAGGAGATCTTGCTTGGTCCACAAGCAGTTAAAACAGAAATTAATTTTGCAATCTCATGCTTGGAGCAGTGTGACTAAGTAGATAAGCATTTCACTGTAGTGTATTAAACCTGAAGATTTTATGACTAAGACCCCTTCAGGCTCTTTGCAGGAGCTACTGAAGCAAATGGTAATTGTTTGGGTCTGTTCTCGACAGGGCTCAGGCTCAAAGAAGCCTGCAAGCTTCTGGTAATAGGAGCTGTGAAATTACTTTTAAAAGCCAGGTAATTTGCCCTTTAAAACCAATCCAGTTCCTTCTATGGCAGCTGCTCACTGTTGTCCTTTGGTAATCAAAGGAGTTACATAGCTCAAGGAATCTGTGTTTGGGCTACTTCATAAGTCTGTATGTCTTATTTGCTTTCTCTCTCCATAGTTTCCTTGGTGTTCCTGCATGCTATAAATACATGCCAGTATAACGCTCCATTTCTCCTCCCACGAGAAAACATTTTAGTAGGGAACACACATTTATTTTAATAGACTAACTGTAAAGGTTAAGATATAGTTATGAGAGTTTCGATAATACCAGGCACCAGAGTGGGATTTTTTCCCTGCTTACTGATTTAAGAACTTCCTGAGAGATTTACAAATCTGGCAGCTGCAAATTGCTCTTATTTCATTTTTATATATTTAAATGAGCTAACCAAAACAAGTCCAAAATTGTCAGTGTTTAAAACTTAAGCTTAGTACTTTATTAAAATATTTTAAAAATAACTTTGCATGTTGTACGTACTGAGTTTTCAAAATAAAACATTTGCTAAGCATCCAAGAACAGACCTTTGGTACTAAAGCAGCTTTTGACAGTAGCAGCCTATTTTGTAGACAGAGTAAGAGAATTTTCTTTGCCTGGGAAATTCTCCTAGTTCTGCAATCGTCATGAATATTTTAACATGAAAAATATTGGTCTGACTGTAAATAATACATAAACGTTGACCTTATAAGTAGCAAATATAGAAGATACTTTGGTGTTATGGATTTTAAAAAGTTCAATTTGTGCGTTTTCTTCTACATATGTTTTGATATAGTCCACATAACCTTATATTCAAATACCACTTTCCGTGTAAATGTAACTTGACATACACAAAAAGTAGGAGGGTGGGAGAAAGGGCTGTTACTCGCTCTGTTTTCAGGATAACAAAAATTGTTATGTTAAACTATATAATTTCTCAGATAAGGGTGCAAGTCCTTCAGGTTAGCAGAAAAATAGCGTATTGCATCAGCCAAATACATTTTTCCCAAGAAAGGACAGTTGGATCTTGAGAGTACAAATCGGTCAAAAGTAACGAGTAAGATCAAGGCTTTCTATCTGTGAGTTCCAGTAACAGTAATGGTTAAACTCAACAAGCTGTATATTACGGATAGTTTTCTGTTCTTTCCTGTTTTGTAGTTTGTGGATTATTTTCAGAACAAAACCAATAAATGCAGTTTAAGGCAACGTTGCCATTAAAAGCTTGGAGAGAACAGGGACTGGTAATTGCTCTTTGCTAGTTTGCTGCTATAATTATTATACTGCTGGAATTCAGGCAGGTACGTGCTCAAAGCTGATGAACTGTCCGCGAAAGCACCTCAAGACAGATAGGTTGTAGTTTGAAGAACATTAAATGGAAAAAGCAGACAGCAGCGCTGTTCTGCAGCGCTGGGGTACTCAACGGACTGTGCGTTGCACACCAGGAATTTCGTACGGACCACGGCCTTTTTCTTACTGAACTGCCAGCCGAATCCGTCCATTGGATAGAGACAGCAGCCTGTTTTCTTGGTTGTGCCTGTGCGCGGGTTACACGCGCGCAGAACTAGTGCAGCCTGATGTGCTTGGAAATATCAGTTGTAATTTTCCCTTCATTGTAAGCCTCGATTCGATGTGGGATGGGTGTTGGCGGCGCCCCTTCTACCTGCTCCTCCTGGAAGCCTTGCTGATGTTTTCCAGCTATAGACTTGCAGCAGCCCCTTGTGGTCTTCAAACGACTTGTACAGGCTTGTAGTTACTGGGATTCCTCTGCCAAACACTAAGTATCAGCCTTAACGTTTGTTTCGAGTGAAGTTCAGCAGAACTATGATTTTGAGAGACAGCTATTAGAAAATAACTCTTGTTAGGAAATTACGAAGTTATGGGTGAGCCTTGGCTGTGTTTTTATTTGAGCCTCGTTTTGAACGGGGCTCTGAGCGTCAGAACAAATCCTTCTCAAAGAGACGGCTTTGTGTGCACGTATTCTGTATTTGCTTTCCACTTTGTCAATATGATTTTGTCCACACGAACTTGTTCCTGCAGCCGCTGGAAGGCCACAGCTTTCTCCGATTTGTTACTCTTATCCCTGCGTGCATGTTCCTGTAGACTGTAGAGTTTATCTTAAACATTTGGAAATACCATTTACTCGGACGACTCTCAGATACAGGGCTTTACTATATGCCTTGTAGCCTTCACTGCAGTTCTGTTCGGCCAAAATAGAGGATAGTAAGTAAAACAAAAAGATTTACAACATGTTCTGAAGTTCAGCTGCATAATTTCATGAAGAGAGAACCTAACGATTAAGTTGAAACCCAGCGTAATATCCAGTTTCTTGAGGCATAAGGAAGAACCTAGAAGCTTTTCTTAACGCAATAAAACTAGTAATGCAGCAGTTGTGTGTGCATCTCAAACGTTTATTGTACTGAGGTCCTAATTAAATCATTTTCCTCTCAACTCTCACTATGTTGAAATTTGGCTTAGATAACGCTGGTACTCTATAGGCATTGTATTCCTCTGGGCTAAGTGAGCAGCGCTCCTTTGAGCAAGAAAAACTGTTCTTAGTTTTAGCTGTGGTATCTTTCCCCATTGGAATGAAAGTGTTTTGGTTTTTGTTTTGTTATGTTTTTTTTCCCCTTTGAATTCCCTGAGGTGTCTTTAAGATCACTTTTGTTTTTACTCTTTTTCTGGTTTCATTCAAATGCCGATTTTTTCCATACAGAATGAACTGAACAATGGGGAAAAGGAAATCTGGTTTCAATGTAAAGGCATAAAATGGCAATTGGAGTTGATTATAGAGTGTACGTGTGTGTACACACACACACGCACACACACACCACACACACACACACACCCCCCCCAGAGTTCGTGGAAATGTAACTGGGAGCTTAACTTCAAGGACAGGGGCTCTTCTAAAGCTATTTAAATCTTAGGCTAACTATGTAATTACAGGACTAAATGGGAAAATGATCAATTTACTTAGTCTTATAGTACTCTGGGCTATCAACCTATATGCAGATACCTTCTTTTAGCAATTGTGGTTTTTCAGTAAACTGAGCTTTTAGAAGATGGACCCTTGCCCCTTGCTTTCTTTTATGTGTTTTTCCTTTCAGGTACCTTATAAACTTCTTGTTGGATGCCACATTAGGAATGCTGTTAATCTACGCTGGGATACGGGCAGTCAGCAGCATTGTGGAATGGCAGCAGTGGGAGTCCCTTCGCTTTGGTGAATATGGTAAATATTTCTATTCTTGCACTGACATGGTTTCCGAGACCATTAAAAGTCAGTACAAGTTAACTGACTGTCATAAAATCATTACACACTATTTAGAACGGCAATTCTAATATTTGACTTCTCACAAGAGTTCTTTTAAGTTCAGTAGCTTGGCATGCAATTTATATATTAGGAAAGCTAATAAACTGTGGATTTGCAGGTACAGAAAACTTTCACGTATCATATGTATTCATCTTCGCCGTTTAATTCTGTTCGGTCTGTTACTTTCAGACCATTTAGTCTGGCTGTTTGGGAATGCAGCTTGATGTTCTGTGTAGCTATTGACAATTACATTCGAGGTTCCTTGAAGTAAGAGCTGGGAAGGCAAGGGAGGTTGCCTTCTAAGAGCACTATGATTTTACCAGGGAAAAAACCACCTCTGGGTAAAAATAACTAACTAATTAAAATGTTGGCCTAAAAAATTAAAAGCTTCCGTAGCGGTTTCATAATTCAGCATTAAGGTGAGGTGGGTTTTTTTTGGTTTTGTGGGTTGGCTTGTTTTAATAAGGTCTTGCTAAGTTCACGTATTTTAAAAGCTTTTGAATTAGACGATTAAATCAATAATGTTAATTGTTATTCCCTTTAATGTCAGCTGTCTATAATAGGTGTGATCTCAGATGTATATCTTAGGAGAAATAACTGCCTGTACTGTTAGTGCATTTTTAAACTTTAGTTATATATTCTCACTTACGTGGACTAGGCACGTATCTCTTAGGGTACAGTTCTATGACCATTTAAGCTGCTTTCTCAGCACTGCCACAATCCTGTTTATCTGCTTTATTCCCGTCTACCGCTCTCCAAATATTTCTACTCTTTTCCTTGGACTGGTGCTCATCCGACCCTTCAGGGAACTGATTCAGAGAGCAAAGCCATCGGAAAATTTACCATATAGAGAGAAGTAAATAGTTATCTTCCAGTTCAGTTCTCAGACTTGGGTCTCCAAAGGATCAGGGTCCTTCCTCAGGCACCAATGCCTGGGAAGAGAAAAGGGGCAAGGAAAGAGCTAAGACCTCACTGAATCACCCCTTCTGACTTAACGTTGAGCCCCCACTGCCTGAAGTCCCTTCTTCTGATTGTTCATTTGGCTTGGAGTCATTTCAGTCAGTTTGAATGACTTCTAGACCATGTAAAATTGGCTTTGTGTTGAGAGCAAAAAATTTGTTGTGCGTACCTGTATTATAACTCAAAAATTAGACACGTTTCTTTCCTAATAGCACTCTCTTTCTCTTGTGTAATCTGTCCTCTTGTCCTGTTTTAAGTGATTTGTGTTGATGGGGGGATGTGGGGGAGTATTCAGAGCTGTTAATTCACTCCTCTGAAAATATCTCCTCCTCATATTGACTTCTATAATGAACCTGTTTTCATTTCGATTATTTATAAGGCATCTATGACTGAATTAGCTAAGTTCTTAAGATCGACAAATGACCTTGTTGTCTGTGCTCTGCTGTGGAGGTAGGGTAGGATCTTTTATCGTCGTTTTGAGCTAGGAGATTCAAAATGCTCAAACTTGTTCATCATACATTTCTTCTCCTTGTGTATGCATATGAATGATGCATGAAATAATCTAAGTCCTCTTTAACTGGTTGTTCTTTCCAATATCAGATCATTTTCTTAGTGACTGAACTTTCGTTTTTGTGTCTTTGTTTAAAATGCTGTCTCTGAACTTGGTTTGTGTTGGTTTTTTTTCCTATCAAGCTATCATAAGCGTTGTTGAAAAGTGCATTGTAACTCTGTGTTTCCATTAATGATGTGGGGAAAGTTGTTAGTGACTGCTGAGCAGCAAGATTAGACCTTATGTAAGAAATAAGGAACCATCTAAAAAGGGTAAGTTGCAATGTATCGTTCAGTGCCCTCTTCTGTTAAGTGCTGCTGTTGTTTCTGAGATGAAACTCGTGATGTTGCCGTCTTATTTAAAACTTTTCACTGTGGTCCCAGGAACACTCTTGTCTTATTTTTTGTAGGATTTTAAAAATGAAGCAGGGGCAGGGAGGTACTACACTGTAGTCCTGTCATCTCTCAAATATGTTTAGATTTAGTATTTGAAGGTAAGCGTGAACGTGCGGAATACACTGGTTTTAGGGTTTCTGCCCATTGAAAGGTTGTAGAGAGTTTGGACATGTTATTTGAAATGGGAAAGGAACGCCTCCGCTTTGAGATCCGTGTTTTCAGTTTGTTTGCAAGTGGGGGCGGAAAAACAAACCAGAGCCCCCGAAACAAGCCTCTACTTTTGACTGAGCTGTGTTGTTTGTGTTTGTAGGGTCTTAAATAATCATTTGTCTCAAGTTAATTCTCGCTGTGAGCTCATTTCCCTTCTTAGCTCTATTACTTGATCCCTGGTGATTCATTACTTGAGAAGCTATCACAAAAATAGCAGGTGTCCTGCTGGTTTTAAAAGCCTCTCTTTATATGGAGGATAGTTTTTAAGTGTAAATGCCTCAAGGAAAGAATGGTTACCAAAATATCCACATTCAGAAATAGTTGCTGTTTATAGAGCGGAATAACACCGCATGCTGATTTATGGACAGAGTAGCATGACGCTCCCTCAGGGGCTTTTTGTGGCAGAATCGTTACGTTTATTAGGTTTGTCTTCCTGTTGTCAGATTTGGCACGTTAGGAGCTGGGTTTTAATAGAAGTATAGACTCGGTTAATATATTTGAGTGTATAAGGAGGGTAAAAAAGGTTGTGATTTGTACCGAAGAGAATGTTCCCTGATACCAGAAATACAAAGCATTCTCCTTCCCTTCTATATTAGACGACTCTAGCTGCTGCAAGTAGAAAACAGGTGTTTAGATCCCTCTTTGTCAAAATGAGCTATATCGGCAACTAAATCGTACTGTGCTCTCTGTGCTTGCCCTTGCTTCTCAGCTGGGAAAGCTTAGAAATAATACTTGGGGTATCTTTTCACTCCAGCTCTTTGTGTGTGCCTCGCAGAGTAACTTATTTCCTTGCAGCCACGTAGAGTAGACATGCACTTACTACAACGCTGTTTTAAGTTATTTTGGAGGAGTTCTGCGACTTGGCATTTTTAAAGAAAAGTCTTCCGGACTTGAAGCAAGTTGCAGCATAGAGGAATCGGGTATTTTGTTCAAGAGCTGTCTATAAACACGCTTCCACTAAGTTGGTGATAAACTCTACTTTGTATATACTAGTTCCGGCGTTGCTCAGCGTGTTCAAAAAACGCTGCTCCGGTTGTCGCCTGTTGACTGCTGAGGAGTCAGGCTCCTCAGTTTTTGTGTGCTTTGCTTGCAGTAAAAAAAAATTTCTACCGATTTGCTCGTTTATTCTACGCCTGTAAGTTGTGTATGGCAGATACAAAATCGGCAATCGAGATAGGCTGTCAGAGAGGCTTTGGAATCAAAATTAGAGCTCGTGGCTTCGACATTAGCTTTTAAGTTCTAATTTGAACTTGTGTACTGAATCTTTGAATGTGCAAACGTCCTGAAAAGTCTTAGGAAAAACCTACTGGATGTGGTGATACTAATAACTTCTACTTTTTTGCCTTCGGTTGCATAATTCATAAAATAGTAGAAAAAATCAGATTGGAAAGGATCTCTGGAGGTCACCCAGTCCAACTTCCCGCTCCAAACAGTGTTAACTTCAAAGCTAGATCAGGTTGCTCAGGGCCTAGTCCAATTTTGACTTAATCCATGGATGGAGATTTAACAAACCCTCTGGGCAGCCTGCTCCCTCTTACTGAGGGGGCCCCAAACTGCCTATGGTATTTCAGGTACAGTCTCACAAGTGCCGAGCAGAAGGGAATGATCGCTTCCCTTGACCTGCTGGCTGTGCTCTTTCTTATGCCATCCAGTGTGTGGTTGGCTTTCATCACTGCAGGGGCGCTCCACTGACTCGTGTTCAAGTTGCTGTCCACCAGGACGCCAGATCCTTTTCTGCAGAGCTGCTCTCTGGCCGGTTAATCCCCAGCCTGTACCGGTGCCTGGACGTTATTCTGTACTAGCTGCAGGACTTTGCGTTTGCTGTTGTTGCATTTCAGGAGATTCCTCTTGGACCGTTTCTCCAGGTTGTCCTGGTCCCTCTGAATAACAGCACTGTCCTCCGGTGAAAAGACCGTTTCTCCCAATTTGGCATCATGCCTGACTTCCCTGAGAGTGTGGGAGTTTGGGGGTTTTTTTGTTTTTTTTCCTCCCATCATCCAGGCTGTAGATGAAGGTGTTAAATACTATTGATCCCAGTATCTACCGCTGCAGGGTGCAACTAGTAAACAGCTACCAGTTAGTTTTCAAACCCTTTGACCCTGACAGTCAAGTCAAGCTTTTCACCTACGCTGCAAGTCCACCCATCCAGTGCACGTCTCCCCAATTTGTCTACAAGGATGCTATGGAAGTGTGCTGTCAAAAGATTTGCTAGGTTCAAGGTAAACAGCATCTCCTCCTCCTCTCCTCTCCGCCCCTCTTGTAATTAGAGTCAAAAAGTAATTTTGGAAATACAATAGAGCACACACAAAACTCAAGTAGAATTTATTGTACACAACTTGGAATGGGTGCAAAATGTTTTTAGCTGTCTTTGCTTTTAGGAATTGAATGCGAATTGGAAAAGAGCTCAGAATAAAATGGAGAATGCTGATAAAAATGTGGAGTGTAAAAACTCATTGTTAAAATTTCATTCTCAAGTGTAATTCAGGCCTTGTATCCCCCAAAGAATCAGAATTGCTTAACTTGAAGTCACTGCAGGTGTTTCCCCCTCTCAGATCCTCTCTCTCTCTCTCTTTCTCTCTCTCTTTCTTTCTCTTTTTAAGTAATAGAAGCCTTAAACTGCAGTGAATAATGAAAAACTTGAGCATTTTAACCATTTTCCTTTTGGACTCTTTAGTGCTGATGATCACCCTGCGCAATGTATGTAGGAGACTTCTTTGGTTTTGGACTCCAGTCTGATTTATCAGTTTCTCTTTGCTGTAGCATTTCAGCAGCAAGCAATAAGTCTCAAGATTTGCTAAGTATTAGTACTGAAAGCCTTTCAAAAATGTTCCCGAAAAGGAAGTGGCCATTATGCATTACAAAAACACAAAGGCATCTGATTTTCCATTGCACATTATTCTTCCCCAGGCTGGAAAATTTTAAGCTGTGTTTGAAGATGTTGCAGGAGGCTGTCGGGAAGAAAACAGCAGCCCTCCAACGCTTGATTTCGGTCTCCAGTGAAGTATTGTTAGTGTATTTGTGACCTGTGAAATCTTGAGGATACAATACACTCTGCTCCTTCCTTTCTTTTCTTCCCCCCCACCCCTTGCTTTCGTATAGTATCTCACAGTCTACATAGTTTTCCTGTTCAAATATTTATGACAGATGGTCTTTATTCTGTACTGGCAGATAACTTCATTCATCATTTTTTTTCCTCACTGTGCTGCAGCCTAATGGGGATCAGCAGAATTTCACACGCATTCAGACTGAAATTAAAATCTGACCTTAATTTTTTTTTTTCCAATTAAATTCTCTTGTGACGACTGGCTTTTTTTATATCAACTCTTGCACCTGTTGCCGCAATTATGATTGGTTAGTTATGGTTACTAGCTTTGTAAAGGGGAGGAATTTGTTTAAGGTAGCCTAGCAAGAATGGCAGAAATATCTGACCTCTATTAAAAATCATATAGAGTGAAGGAAAAGATGTTTATCTTCAGTCATGCTTGCCTTAATTTCTCCTCACTTAGGAAACTTAATGCTTTAGGATAGAGGGAGAACAACAATTTTGTGAGAAACAAATCTGATGCAGCTGTATCTGTCTTGCTTTCATCTGATTGTGTAAAAGAGCACCCGTATGACCAGGTACTGCAGAATCGGATAAAAATCCTGTTATATTCAGTTTCTACCTGATACTTTTTGCAAGTTGGGAGGGTTGGGAGGGAGAGCAACAGCACTAAGGAGATTGAGGAGGGCACTTTAAAAGGATAAATTTGCCCTGCCTCTTCTAATCTTGCTTTTCTAAAATACTTGTTGTGAAGTAAAATCAACGATATGTGTATATTGCACCTTTTCTCTTTTTTGCAGGTGACCCACTGCAGTGCAGTGCTTGGGTGGGCCAGTGTGCTCTGTACATAATGATCATGACGTTTGAGAAAACTGTCATCATTATAGTGCTTCTAATACCTCAGTGGAAAGAGGTTTGTATTTTTACAGCATTTTACAGACAAATGAATTTCTGATGCGAGAAGCCATAGAGCGTATAGATTACTAATAAATACCATTTATTGGCTTGGCTTGTCTCCAAGTGTCATAGCTTCCTACAGTTAAAGCCGTTTAACTCTCTCGTAGTGGTATGTTCTTGAACCTTGACTAGGATACTGCTAATTAGGCTTTCTGGCATCCGTTGCTAGCGATATCCTATTACGTTTTGGTTTTATTACATACTGCGGCATCTACTTGTATGAGAGCTCTAGAGAGTACTAAACGGTTCCTCCTTTTCTTGTTTCTCTGACCCACGTTTAAACCTTTTTTGTATCGTTTTCTGTAGGATTTTAAAGAATCGTTTTTACGTGACCTTGCTGATAGATCTGAACTGCAGAATTCTATTAATTCACAATGGATAAGTGAAACCATTGCTGATGACTAGACAGAGGTTTATTTTGATAGGCTCCGTGCAATCTAATATTCAAAGTGATGGTGCTTGTTGCTGTAGCAAATTAAAGGCCAGTCGTCACTTGTGCATGTTCTAGACTAAGCTGGGAACTAGGCGTCTTCTCTTACTGTATATTTTGTGAAGTCTAAATTTCCTAAACGTGCAACTTATGACACGTTCCTTGGGAACGTGCAGCCCTAGTACATTTGAGATGGTTCTTGCACAACTCTTCAGACTTCTGTAAACCAAAAAGACTGAGATGACAGCTAGTTTCTTGCCAGCCCCACTTACTTATCTACTGCAATTTATAAGCTGTCCTAAATGCTTTCCTTCTCTACGAAGCTGTCCTTCTTGGTTCATATACCCTATTTCTGTAGCATTAGCTAGTACATGAACAACCGCACTAAGTAATCCAGTTGTGTGCACATGCTGCTGTGATCTGAATTTGATCCTTTTCTTTTCACAGGTAGCATTATTGAATCCTATAGAGAATCCCCAGTTGGAGCTGGCTATCGTCATGCTGATAGTTCCCTTCTTTGTTAATGTTAGTACGACTGCATGCTTCTCTGAGATAGTTACATGTATTTCATTCTCCCATCTGTTAATTAATTAATTAACATTAAACCTTAAAGCACAACATGCCTTGGTGTTTAAGTTACCTTAATTTTAAAAAGGAAGGGTATTAAAGAATGGGTAAAATGTGCGGGTACGGCTTCAGTAGATTGAATGTAGTGTTGCAATATTGTCATAGAGATTATAAAATTACAGTGAAATTTGCCTTAGGAAATGATTTAAGAATAGCTGTATGGCTGAGTATTCTGTGTCTGACCATAGCTGATAGTGGTTGGCATAGGAAGGAGCAGAATAAAAGGGCGAGTGTACGCTTGTTCTTCTCTGACTATATACCCTTGCAGCAATCTGGGCATTAGGGATTAGAGCCAGAGATGCTGTCTTTGCAGTTAATAACCTCCCTTGTTTTTTCTTTCATTAATTTGTTGAAGCATGGATTTTATCCTTTGAGAAGGAAGAGCTTGTTGCACTAAGATGTCTGCCTGAGACCATTCACATTTCTACATAAAGAGTTAATATGCGGTTGCTCTGAATAGCAGCTATTTTTCTTACTTTCTCCTCTTCTACCGAGGAATAAAGTAGCTATGTTCTAGAGCATTCATGCAGTGTATAATAAACCGTGTGACTGTATGCCTGCACAGGCTTTTTTCAGTTTGGCCAATTGACTTTTGTTATTAAGTTTCCCTAATTCTGTCCAAATGTTGACCGAATGAACGTGTACTAGCCTGAAGAAAAACTGAACTGTCATTTCCCCCTTCTCTTTACCAGGCATTAATGTTCTGGGTAGTAGATAACTTTCTTATGAAGAAAGGGAAGACAAAAGCTAAACTTGAAGAAAAGGAAGCAGGACAAGATTCAAGAAATGGAAGTAAAGTCCGATACAGAAGAGCAGCATCGCATGAAGAATCGGAGTCAGAAGTATGTGGAGTCAGTCCGTCCCTCGTGTCACTGATTTCACTGTAATACTGTCAATTTAGTTTTGATTTTCTCTGTATCTACCTCTGACCGTGGTTCCTAGTATTTGTAGTTGAATGCCAGTAAAGAAAATGGCAGTGTCCCAACACTCGCTGGTAGTTACTTTCCTTCCAGACGGGTAGGAAGGCGTAAGAACATGTCTAAGTGTCACGAACGAACTGTGTTACAAATGCTTCTAAAAAAAACTCATACAAAATACAAGATTAATCAGACCAAACTCATTAAGCTATTAGCCTGCCTTTGAAAGTGAGAGGAAGAGGGAGAAAATAAGTGGCTGGGTTTTTATAGGAGTATTTGTTAAGAGCTAGCATGGTGCCAAGGATGAGGGTGCTGTAGTGGCACAGTCATTGGGGACAGGTCGGAAGAAGGTGAGCAGACCAGCTCTGCGTTTCTTTCGTTGTTTTCATGGATTTGTTACCTCTTGGATAGGGGTGAATTAAAATTTTAATATGGTTGGTGTGTTAGGGATATGCACAGCCAAATACGGGATTTGGTAGAAATGTGTTGCATTTTTATTACAGAATAAATTAACCTTTTAAGCATCCAGTCATTATGTAGGTCTTGAAGGATGCTACGGGTATTATGAAGATCTTCGAATATGCTCAGCTAATTAGTTTTCAGCATTAAACAAATAAACATCAGCTTCCTTTTTTAGCATTGCACAGAATCTTGTGTCTGAATTGGAACTGATTTAATTAGAGTAAGGGTATCTGTGTTTTCACTTAATTTTCAAAATGTCACGTATAGGACAATGAGGAACGAAATTTGAGTGGGTCAGAAATGCTTCTGTGGGGTGGCACCACTTAAACAACTAAGTATTTTCTATGCCTGTCAGAAAAACAAAACGTAAGAGCCTCTGCTGTATGTGGAGTTAATTGCCATATAGTTCCAATTTTTTTCCAGTGGTGTATTTTCGGAGTGTTACAACTCGATTTTCAGAAATTAGTCAGCTGTGTCCTGAAGTAAAAGATGCAAAAAAGGAGGGAAAAAATTCTTACGTCCTTGCCTCTGAGTAGAACTTTATTCTAAATTATATTAATTGGGTCGCCTTCAGTCTGCCTGAAGGATGGGCAGAATCCTTGAAAGTAAGTTTTTAGTTACAGCTAGTTAGTGTACGCTTTCTGAATTATGCACAGTGCTACCTGTGTTTTTGCTCAAAAAATAACTGCCGTATTGCAGATACAGGCACAGAGGTTGTGTGTTCTCCCTCGCTTGCTTTCACGGCAGGTACCTCTACCGCTCTGGGGGCACGGGCATCGCAGCTTTGCATTTAGAGCCTGTGATTCTAGTAGAGGTTAATACACGTGCATCCATTTCGTTTGAAATGTACTTGAGGTTCCAGGTAGGATTCACAATGTTTGCTAGTACTGACGATAAATCCAAATGAGGTTCAGTAGCCATAGGCAAATAATAAGGTGTTTTGCAAGCATGAAAAAGTAATAGGTCAAAAGCAGCACGAAGGAAGAACGTGACTTTGATTCACGTTACTCAGAAGCTGTAATTTGTTTTTAGATCCTCATTTCGGCAGACGACGAGATGGAGGAATCGGACGCTGAAGAGGACCTACGCAGATTGACCAACTTAAAGCCCATTAAGAAAAAGAAGCATCGTTTCGGTCTGCCTGTATGACGCATTCCCCGACCTGTGTATTTGCAGGCGTCGTGGCGAAAACTTCTCAGTCAGTGGGTTTTAATGTTGCAATTGCATCTCCCTTTTCATACAGACTGACTCAAAAACAAGGTCTCCCAACAGAATGCAAACAGTTGGAAGATTTCCAGTTCAGTTGCACTACAGACACACTGACCGGTTATGCAAGAATGTCTTTTCATCATGGGTGAAAACACAGTGTTGCTAAGGACTAGTCACTAACGTGATTTGTATCTGACCTTTCGGGGAAGATCAAAGAAAACAGCTACAGGAATCTTTCATGTATGGTTTCTGAATGATACAGTTTAAGATGTTCTCAAAAAGGCATCAGAATCAACTAAGTTAAAGGAGTATGTTTTGCTACTAAAACTGGCTTTTGCAGCATAATTCCTAGAGCAGAATAGTTTATGGTTACAAGCTGTAACTTAATGTTATTTTTTTAAGTACAAAATGTTTACTTGCTACAAGGTACCTATGGAACTAATAGGTGGAACAAAGATTTTTTTCCAGGTCTCCTCAAACCTATTTGACTATTTTATATTTAAGTTATATTTTCATACAGTTGTATTTAAAGATTCTCTTTGTCGGAGAAAAGGGTGCAGTTACCTTTTTTGTGCAGGAAAGGGCGAAAGATTTGTCGTGAGAATCTTATTTATCCTTGTCTCCTGGTTTAAGACAAAGGGATTGCAAAGGGAAAGGCTCTCTGTCACTGCTGAAGTCACCAAATATCACTAAAAATGCAGTCCTGCGTGTGCTTTTGAACACATAATTTAAAAATACCTTTTTTAATAGGAGGTGTTATTTGCATATTTGACAAACATGCACTTTAGTGTATAACAAAGCATCTGCTGTGATATAGGTTGCTTATTTGTGAAATGAATATCTAGGGATGGCTTCAGTTACTTATGTTGCTGAAGAACCTGCACGTCTCTCGTGCTTACCTCTCAAACGATCCAGAAGAGATGGAACGTTTCTTCTGCTTTTCGTTAGGTAGGGCCTGCCATACAGGACCTTGATCTGATTGGAGCAGTTGTGCTACGATATTGCAAATAATTCTGTCCCTGCTTGTTTTTTGTTGAAACAGCAGTCTTCTATTCAGTATGTGCTTTTTTTTTTTAACCCCCCTCCAGAAAAACTGTATTTCTCATGTTGAGTTTCCTTAAAAGTCTGATTAACCCGTAGCGTAAAAAAACTGAGAGGTATAATACAGTTGTTACTTTGTCTGCTGCAGAATTTCTGCAGCTTTCAGTGTCTTTGTCTGATAGTTGAAAACGTGCTGATCTTAAACCTTGCAGGCATGTTTTCGGTGACATCCTTTTGCGTGTTTTCTAAACGGCAGTTACTCTTTCTGACAGCTTTCCTCGCTTAGTAAAACCTTGTGTAGGACAAGGCAACGTGTCAAAGAGGTGACAACAGAAATTAATTGCAAGTCTGTTGTAGTATCCGGACATCGGAAATGTTCCAAGCCTTAAACCAAACAGTTTCCTGAGAAAACTGCTCAGAACTTTTTAAGATTTTTTACATTTTTTTATAGATTTACTAGGTCTTAACGTGGTATGTTATCCAGGCCACTTGAATGGGGTTCTTGGGCCTTAGTAAATAGTGAACTGCGCGCTCCCTTGCTTGTTGTCACTGTTCCGGCACTCCTTTTCACCGCGCGGCCGCCCAGGGGAACGTAGCGCTCGGAGACTTCGGGTACGCCTCGGTGCGTCCAGCTGACTGAACGGGACGTTTTACCAAACCTGACCTTTGAGAGTTGAGTTGAGCCACTGACCTCTGTTACTGTGCACTGAAACGTCATAACTGCAATAAGCTTAAATACTAGCGTTTCTTTTAGACTGAATCGACAAACTAACGACAGTGGATGCTTAACTGAGGTATTCTGAAATGGGGGGGATGGCGGCAGGGGAGTGGGGAAATGTCCCCAATCAGTGTTGCCTTTGTTTTAGTCATTTTGTGGGGTTTTTTTCTTTTTTCATTGATTGTGTGACTTGCATCTTCAGTATTTACCATTGGGCAGGCTCATATCTCCGAAAGCACAGTACTTCAAGGAATTCATCTTCATTGACAGACTAGTCTCATACAGCTCACCGTTCCAAAGGGATTGAAGGGACTTGCTCTTGTCACAAATGGCAGTGTCTAGTTTTTTCTTTTTCTTTCTTCCTCCCACCCCCAGCACAGGATTTGTTCTATTTCAGAGAGTGAAGTCCAACTCGCGCGTGCCGCACGCCACGGCACAGCCGCTGCTGTCCGCGTCAGCCACCCAGAGGTAACTGAGCAGCGCGCACAAATTTAACTGCACAAGCTTTCCTTTTATCTTCCTTTTCCCTCCTCTTCTCCAGTTACTTAGATTGTGAAAATGATTTCTATTTCTAGTCTCATGTTTGGTCTGTGAAACGTCAGTGTAAAATTATGGCCTTAATCGTGTAACATGTTTGTTTTGAGCAGACCTCAAACCTATTGACCAAGTACAAAAGTGTATAGAGCACTAAGGAGCAGTTTCTTGAAGATGGTTATAGCGAAGGTGTAAGAATGGCTAATTTTTCCTGTCTTAAGTGCTTAAATATCACTTGATTTCAGATTTGAATAAGCCTAGCAAGATGACATATACAAGCAGTATGAGCCAAAAAGACAGAAGTATTCTAAATACCACAGTAATAACAGGAGGAGCATATCCCCGCAGGGGAGAAAACAACTCTCTCTTCTAGGACAAACACTTTATTTTCAGCTTTAACCAAATAACAAAAGCTGTTGGGGTTTGTTTTTTTTTTTTCCCCTATTCAGTTTTTTTTCTTATGTGAAAAAGACGTGGAAAATGTAAAATTGGCAGCTTGCCTCTTTGGAACGTCAAAATCCGACGTGGGGTGAATGTCGGAACCGCTGCAGGAGGTACAAGGTTGCCCGCTTTTGTCTGAAGCGCTTGTATGTCGGAGAAGGAAACGTGTGCCTAGTGCTTTACTATGTCTTACTGCTCAGTGAAAGATATTGGCAGTGCAGTCTGAAATAAATTTTTTCATGAGGAGTTGATCTGGTAATAATATTACGACATGGTGACGTGTGTGTTATCCTCACGTTGGCGCTCGAAGTTAACGGCTGGCAAAAGTGCTTCAAGACAACTCCATTGCAAAGGTTTAATTCAGGCTGTGCTTAAAAAGTGATTCAGTCGTTTAATGAAAACAAGCTACGTTGTGTACCCCAAAGTAAGAGAAAGGGATTGTAACGTACCGAAGAGATACAGAAATATTGGTGGAGATCGAGTTTTCCATGAATGGTCAACCTACATGTTTTAACTGGTTCTGGTATCTGGCCTGTGGCACATCTGCATAAATTTGAAGACACCAGTGTTGTCTAATATGTGGTTTTCGAGTTTCAGCTTTAATTCGTTCAGGTCCCCTTGTCTGTCTTTACGTAGGTGAAATGCTGTATATTAATGTTGCTAACTAAAACGTACGATAGCTTTTTCTTCAGGGAAAACTCAAATTGAGTTGCAAAGTAGAGCAATGCAAAGTGTATGCGATGCCCTCCAACAAGTGTCTGCGCCGATTCCAGCTGTGCCTGGCGAGGGAGGAGCGGTCCTTACTAGCACCCTTGCTGCTGAGAGCTGAGCATCACAAGGAATTTCTGCCACTGTGCTTGACTAATCCGTGTTTGCAACTTTGCTGTGCTTTATTTATTTATTTTTTATTTTTTTCCAGGAGGAAACAGTGATGAAAGTGAACAAATCCAGCCACATCAGGTCAGAGTTAGATCTACAGCATAGGTGTGCAAACTTTTTTTTTTTTTTTTTTTAAGGTATTTCAAGTTTCCAGTTCAATTACTGAAAATGACTACTATGGTTTTACAAAGTAAAACTGCAGTATCTTTAAAAAAGGGACTCTTTTGTAGGTGTGTTTGTCTTGCGTGGGTATCTGTCTCAAATTGAATGTCGGGTTTGTTTGTAAGTAAATTCAGAGTAGAGCCTGTGTGAGCAAATCCAACAGCTGTGTTCTGCTGCCCTCTGTTTGGACCATACTGTTTAATCAGTGGTGTTACCTTAAACTTCTAAGGGTATCTGATGTAATTACATTGTATAATGGTTTACAATAAAGTTTGACTTATTACAGATTTGTACACTTGTCTTATGCTCGTTCTGTTTGAAAGCGAGTGTGCTTCAGTGTTCATGCTGTGCTGTTGCGCGCAGCAGGTTTTGCTACTGGAGTTTAACGTCAGAACTGCAGACTTAATTTTTTGCACTCCCACGTGATGTTTATTTCAATATGTTCTTGTGCGTTAACAGCAAGTCCTGTTTCAGGAGGAGGGACCGCTGTTGTTAGGTAGCAAGTTTTGTTCACAACTGAAGAATCGTTCGAAGCTTCTCTCAAATCTCTGCTCTGTTCCCTGAGGATGGTTCTAGCTCTCGGGGCACGCGCATGGAGAGTGACCACCTGTATTTTCATATTGAAAAGAGAACCTTAGGTGTGCAACCTGAGAACGCCTGAGGCTGCAGAACATTGGCCTGAGGCCTTCTGGCTGTAGAACTTGGTCATACCACTGTACCACGCATCTGATTATCTGAGCCTACTTCCCGCTTCTGAAGCGAAGCCAGACCTCTTGTTCATTGTCAGCAAGAATGTGTAAATTTAGAAAATGTCTGAATTTACCTCCAGTGACCTTCCTCTTGGCAGAGGCGTAGCCTAATTCAACAACTTGTTCACCTGTGTTATCTTCTGTTCTCCTGATTTGTTTGCAACAGGTAATAGAAATGCAAGCTGAGGGAAGGTGTCTTCACGCTCTTCGCTTGTGCAGGTCCTGTTAAGAGGCTTACCTGTGAAGTATCTTGTATCACAAAACTCGCAAAGTCCCTCCTTGTGAGCCAGAAGAGGGCCATGTAGGGAAGCCTGGTTCTAAGACCAAGTCGCCTCTCTGATCCCCATCTCTAGAGGGCAACAGGTTGGAGATGAGCAATGTTGTCCGTGCTTTCTTCCGTTTCCAATGCTTCCCAAGGCCATGCCGAAAGGAAGAAGGGAGAGCGGTACTGATCCTTTTCTGTCTGAAGGAGTCATCGCTTCTAGATGCTATTTATGCAGTGCAGAGTTGTCTCTTCCCCTCCATGGAAGACAACTTTTCTTTGGTTGACAAGTGGTCTGCAGCCTGCACTGTGGATGGTATTGCCTGACTGTCCCCAACAAAATCAGTGTAACCAAGTTTGCTTTTTGCTATTTTGTTGGGCAGAAAGATGCCATCTTATTCTCCAGGTGTATTGTTCTGCTACTGAGGTATGGCATGGTAAGTATCTACCATCCGTCTGCCAGAATGAGAGAGGAATAAGGAAGGCTGTCTAGGAGAAAGAAGATTGGCTCACTGTGAAGCTGTAGCATGGACCGTGTATAGATGACTTATTTTTTTTAAGGGTGGGAGGTTGATGCCTTTTTGCCATGACAGAGCAGAAATCCTGTTCTTAGCAAGCTTCTGCTGCTGTCACCACTTCCTTCAAAGAATAATCTTTAGCCTTTCAGGCCTGTAAGTTCACTAACGGATGCTGGCAGTTTCTTGGAGAGGACATGTCTTCTATAAGAAGCTCTGTTTGGAGATCCTGGTGGCCAGCTGTGTGTAAAGTCACTCAATTTTCCACATTGATCACATTTTAATTACAGCTGTTTTTCAGCAGAGCAGTTTCCACACCTTGTGTTCCTGGGGAAGGTGGAAGAGGGCTGACTTGCATTAGTGGTAACAGCCACTGTGCAATAAATGAGCTTACCTTCTGCCTCATCATTCGTGTCCCATTTAACAGATCTCAGGACCTCAAGAGGGGTCCTACTCTGACATGGCAGTAGTTCAGGCTTAGATTTAAGTTGGTTTTTGTAAGGAAGAATTACCCTGTGCTCTGTAGGAAGCAACGGTTGTGCTCATTCTTCAGCATTTAGGAAATGCACAGTTGAACGACAGAGTGTGGAATTGTCCAGGCTGTGGAAGATGTCTTGGAGACACTTGGAGATAAGCTGCCTACCTCTGTAGATGCCTCATCTCCCGCCCCTGAATGGCATGCAAGCTGAAGGTTTGTTGACACAGGTATGAGGATTTTGTTTGTACAAATTATATTGCTGTAAAAGCATACAAAAGCATACCTTTCTATGGTTTTTGAGATGAGGAAAGTGCAGTACCGGTGAAATGAAGTAGCTTTAAAAGCTGAAGGGAGAAAAGTAGCTCTGTCTTGAATCGTAACCACTTGCTTTAAACATGCAGACTGTTATTTTCCTGTTGTAATAGATAGCATCAGAAAGGTGATGCTTACAGGTATGTGCAGAAAGAGAGGCGTTACTTTTGTACGATGACAAGATTGATCGTCTTCCCTAACGTTGATGTGTTTTCCTACTACTTTGTTAGCCTAATAAAAGGTGCTGCCATTCCCCAGAAACTTTTCCTCTTGTTTACTAAGCCGCGGATTTAAAATAGAAACTCAATGCGAGGAATGGCTGACTAAGTGCATAACATCTCAACTGCTTCTAAACCTACAAATAATGGTTCCAATAGTAACGTGAAAGAAAGCATGTTTGCAGGCCCGGAGAGTTCAGCTGGACGGCCAAAGCAGGCGCTCGAAGGCCCGAGGGACGGCATGCAACTCTCGAATCAGAGTTTCTATCGTGGAGTACTAATGCTGCGCTATTGGTGTCGTGTTTTTAGAATGAAAAATATCAATTTAATTTTGCCTCCTGTGCTTCTCTCCGTAGATTAAACGGAAGCCAGGCAGAGCTTGAGAAAAGGGTAGGGAAGATTTCTATCACTACAACAGTCGGTATTTCTATTAAAAGGTGTTTGGAGGCATGTCAAGCCTACCTTTCCCATAATAAAAAAATTTGTTTGGAGTTTTGTTTTATTTCAGGAGTTTACGGTAGACATAAAAGATGTTGTTTTTTTTTTTTTTTAATGATGTAAAGAATTAACGTGATGGTTAGGGAAAAAAAATTTAATAAAAGGGAAACAACTCCCCACCAGACTGACTCCCTTTAATCACAATTAGCAATCGTGCTTAGGGTTTCTCTTTTTGAATGAAGAAAATTGAATAGGGCACAAATCGTAAATTTTGAGGAAGGCTTTATTCACGCGGCGGGTGAAATGATTAAGTTTGCTAATACTGCTCTAGGTCGCAAGTGATCGTACGCCTCTCGAGTGAGTAAGGGCTGACATCAGAGCAAGCGCAGCAATAAAACTGTAAGGATAAAACCATGTGTTTTACTGATGATCCAAAACACTGCTGTGTTGAACACCCCATGCCAAAGAGATTGCTGAGGACCCAACGTTACGCTTCTGGTGTGCGGTTCATGCGATGCAGCTGGCGTTTACAGAGCGAGTGGTTTGTAGCGCTGGGAAAGAAACGCTCTCCTGTTTTCTTCCCGTCAAGGGAATTCAGAGTCAATTTTGTGTCTGTAACAAAGCTTTGCCTTTTAAAGTTACAAGCAGAGCCGCAGCGGGCTCCCCTGGAAGTCGTTTTCGTAGCAGAGCGGATGGGGCTCCCACGCGGTCTCGCTGCCCCAGCTGTCTCCTCGTGTCAGGCCCAAACTTCAGCCGTCCCCAGGCGCGCGGGGCCGTAAATACTGCACGCCCTAGTCATCCCTAAGAATAAACCTTTCAACAACACCAGCCCGTGTCGACCTGAATCATCCCGGGCTCTGCTTTGGGAAAGTGACCCAGCTCACGACCTCGTGGTGGATGCTCTATATAAGTCCAGGAAAATAACAGCCGCAGAGGGCACAAGGCTGGAGTTAATCAGAGCAGGGGCACTACCTCGGGAAGGATCACCGTCGAGGGAGCGCGGCAGTTATGTCACAGGTACGGGGCGATGGGGATGCAGCTGGCGCTCGGTTGGCCGGGATGCCCGACAAATCTGCTGCTGTTTTCGGTGGTCCGCTCCGTGCGGCTTATTAGCGCGTTATTCTCGTGAAGCAACGAATTGAGCTCTTCTGATCTGGTTGACCTATTTCATTCTGCCCAAGTGCTTACGCGCTTCGTTTTTATAGTTTAACAAGCAAATTGTTATGAGCGATTTGAAATTCATGAGGAATATAGCCAAATTGATAATAGTTTTGAAAGGAGGTGGCTCTCCTGAAATGCACTCTCTCTTCTTTAAAGTAAAGCCTAGTATAATAACATGTAGGAAAAAAGGGGGTATGACTGCAGGTTACAGTTCTCGAGATAAAACACTCGAGACTGAAATTTTGTGCTACGCGTTTCTCGCGTTCGTCTTGGAACTAGTAGTTTGTCCTCACCGCGCTCCCCGATCGTCGGTGTTTCAAAGCGGTCCTAAAATTAGCTCAGAGCGTTTGAGCTTTTCACACGCTGTCCTGTTTTCAACCCCAAGTTATACGTACCCGACGCGGGTCTCTTCATTGCGAGAGTTTTACGTGGTGGGTAAAACGGAGAGCAAGAGGACGGGGAGGGCAGAGGAGAGGGAGCCTTCGAAGCCACGCAGAATAACTCAGCTCTGCTTATTCTCTCGACTCCAGATGAAAAGACACTTGAAAGCTCAGTCGCCGCTCTTGTAAACCGACACTTTGCCTTGTGACAGGAGGAGACAAAACGCAGGCCGGGCCGCCGCGCGTGCGGGGAAGGGCTTCTGGCAAAGCCGGCTGGCGAAGCC